TCTGTTTAGCTTATCAAAAAGAGTATTTGAGAACTGAAAGGATTATAATTTAAAAGTAACTTTCTGGAAAGAAAATACTGGATGTGTAAGGGCTCTTTAATCTAGCCAAGAAAGGCTTAAGAGTCAATGGCTGGAAGCTGAAGCCAGACAAACCCAAGCTGAAACTAAGCACACATTTTTAACAAGCTCATTCACCACTGGAATAAACAACAAAGATGAGTGGTGGACTGTATCTCTAGTTGTCTTCAGATCAAGATCTGATGTCTTCCTGGAAGGTATGCTTTAGTGAAATACAGGTTATGGACCTCTAAAGTGGGATAACTGGATAAGACCTAATGGCCTCTGTACAAAAATTAAAATACTTTATAATGGTACTTCCTCTTTGCCTTAGATTTTCTAGGCACTCAAAGTGCAAACACCATGTTTGACACTTGTTCGGGCCATGGAGGCCACAAAGTTTTATTGTCAGGGGTGTAAAACTTAAGGCCTATAGGCTGGATGCAGGCCACAGAGCCATGCTGTAAGATGTGCAAGGCTCCTAGAGGGAATTCAGAATGAGACCTGATGCTGAAATCTAGGGCACAATCTGGTACACACCCTTAGTTTCTCCCTACCGGTGCACTGCCTTCAGTGACTTCAGATTTCCTAAATCAAGTGATCTTTACTTGTTTACAAGCTTATTCGTCTGGCAGGCAGCAGCTAGCTCATTGTTTTAGGTTGCTTATGTTTGAATGGGAGAGCTCCAGGTTAAAAATCCTTGATTGTTCTGCATTGTTAGTCATCAATGAGGTGCAAGAATTTCTCCTGACAACTCCCTGGAGGTTTCAGCATAAAAAGGAAGTTAAAAAACAAAAGTGTCCTCTCAGCACCATTTACAAAATGGGATTCATAAAACAAAAGGCATTTGTAGTTTGATGTAGATCCACACACTAACATGTCACAGTCCATTTTACTAACCATGACATGTTCTTGTTCTGATAAAGTTATTTGTGCTACACAAGAGTGTGGCATTCTTTTTTCTGGATTAATTTATATATCCTGCAAGGTTGTAAAAGGCCCTTAGGGAGGAAAGCAGAGGTTGGATATTGGGGATGACTTAGTGGACTCTAGTGCTCCCACGATTAAGTTTCTTCTCAGCTGAAGGCTTACGTATTTCTGAAATATACCCACTGTTTGCTTTTAAAACATGTTTCTGCCTTAGATGTATGATGACAGTGATGATTAAATATCTTGCAGTGTCTAGAAATAAATCAAAATCAAACCTTTTCCTACAAAAGCTTATGCTTCTCTGAACTAGTTAGTATCTAAGTTGCCAGCCTACCCTGCCTTCTGCCTAGCTTCAGACTAACAGAGCTAACCCCTGTCTTCTTGTGTTATTCTTTCTATAACTACCTTGTAAGGAGCAGTCCTGCCCCCAAAAATCATACATGTTAAAGAGTTACAGGTATCTATGGGCCTTTGTACATGCTACAAAATTGGCCTTTAAAGTGGCTTAAATGCCCTTTGCACAGCTTTAATGGCATTGCTGTTTGCACATTCAGCAGTGTATTCCACTTTAATCGTGTTGCTGTTTGCATGCCCGGTGGCATATTCTGCTTTAAATGACTTTGGTGCATAGCAAGATAAAACATCTCCAAGGCGGGTGCCACCTGGGGGGCCGCTGCACAGCTCAGAGATCACTCGGCCTGCTGGCAGCTCATCCTCCCACATCCCCACCGCCAAAGAGACAGGTAAGGATTGGGCTCCCACCCTTGTGTACACACCATGGAGGTTTAGTTAGGTTTAATTCTCCCTAAATTGAAGCAGTGTTTTTAAAAACCCACCATTTCAATTTAGGGAGAACTAAACCAAATTAAACCCCTGTGGCATGTGCAAGCAGTCTATTACAGAGGAGACCATTTTAAATGTAGAAAGTAACGAAGCAGTTAAGACATCTTGCTATGGCTCCTGTGCCATGAGTTAAAGTCCTGTTTCTGACTTCTGTCAAAGACTGCCACCTCCCCATCCTCCCTTGCAGCTGTAAAATAGTCCCTGGTCATTTCGATGGGAGTCAAAGGCAATTGGACATGATGCCAGCCACATCACTCCCTTTTGTGCTGTAGGCTACAGAAACTAGTATGCTTGAATCATGCTACCTCAATGGGCTGTTAAGGTCAAGAAGACCCTTGATGTAACTACTGTTTTGAAAGAAATATAGACAGCAGCTGAAATATACTATCATATATAAGAAAACGTTCTAACCTAGAGCGTATTTCAAGCCTTTCCTCTAACACAGAAATACTAAGTACTTTCAGGCTTTTTTTTTTAAAGAAATGAATGCTATGTACATATGGTGTTGCTGAAGGAATTCTCTTGATTTAAACTAAAAAGCAGCATCTGGTCTCCCCACTCTTCTACATTGAAGAATAATGCATTTTGATGTACAGAGTACACTAAGTTACTGTACCCATATAGCTGGAAGTAAAGTAGTGCTCAGTTGTAAAGCTTTCTTAGAAATTATAAATACTGATCTTCTGATATAATTCAATAAAACACCAAAACGGGGCCTGATAGAATCCCACAGAAGTGAAAGGAAACTACACTGCTGACTTCAATGAGCCCAATATTTCCATTACCTATCATATATATTTCACAAAACTTGGAAGTCTAGTAACTAGAGGCATGTTATTGACAAATTCTTCATTCATGCACCCTATGATGTTTGAATAGTTTTTTCTGTTGGTTCATATAGGTGATCTCTTTGTGAAATTAAGATATTACTTTACTTGTGTATTTAAACATTTGTGATGTAAAGTATTTGCACAATTGTCATGAAAGTTATCACAGGCCCTCATGAGAGTCACCGTGATCTCAGCTCCATTTTGCTTAATTAAATAAAATCTCCAGCGACCTCATAATAAATGTTTTATGAGGGTTCATGTGGCAGCTATGAGTCTTTTATTGTCACCATTGTGCCTATGTATACATATATGCCAGCAACCTACAAATTCTTCAGTGCATTGAATCCCATTTTCTGTCAGCCTAATAAATGTCCTCTGAGTCTTATTCTTAGGCTATTTAACTACCTTGAAACTCTCTGCAACTTAAGCGAATGAGACCACTGCATTACCATTACATATGCTATACTGAGCATCTTGTGCTTAAAAATGCAATGAAACATTTCTCTATTAAGAATTCCTCCCTTTTATTGCTGTGTAATAAACTTCATTTGAACATACAGACTTCTTATCTCAAGTCTTCTTCATGTTTTTCCCCATGCTGAATTATCAAGCTACTCAGATACAAGGACCCTTATTTATAATTCTAACACCTCAGGTTTTTATTATGGAGGAGTTTTTCAATGGAGGAATCATAAATAGAGTGTCCTTCAATTTGAACAAACAGATTGATAATTCAGTAAATAAGCTGAACAAAACATGAGCTAGAATCAAAATGCCCAGTAGAAACAACAGCTTAGCAATGAATGCAAGAATCATTCGGCAATATATGTAGTCACGACACTGAGTGATTAGTGCACTTAGATCCTAGTAATTTCTCTAAGAAGAGAAAATGAGTAGAGAACAGACACCAAATTACTAAATTATCCTATTACACTTTTATTTAGAAATGTAGAATTCCTGCAGACAGACTTTGAACAGAATGGATTTTAACACAATTCAAGCTCTCACACACTAGGTAATAGCAAAGAATTTTTTCACCATCTGCTCTCATAAAATCCTGTGCCTTATTTCCAGTACAGCCCACACACCTTTTTTGCTGCAGTGTTCAGCTTTCAGCCCCAAAGGTTTCTGTACTGGTTAGTGATTCTGCCTAAAAAAAAAACCAACAAAAAAACCCTGAGTAAAATCCTGTCCCCACTGAAGTCAATGGCAAAACTCCCAGTGATTTCAGTGAGTCCAACCTATCTCCCTTTAAGTTCCTTAGCCTAAAGTTTGCCATCTGGCTCCAGATGGTCTGAAACTAGTCTTTCAAGATTGATTTTCCTGAGCTATCTGGTAGGGCAGACCCGTTTCCTGCTGGGACTGGAGCCACTGAGTCTAGGGATACTTTGCCAAAACAACACAGAAGCCACTTACCAGCTAACAGCCCACCTGATATTCACTTATTCCCTCCTCAACGTCCTCATCACTGACTTGTTGATCCTTACTGAATTTAAAAAATTGCACATTCCCTGTTAAAACTATGGCACCTGTTAATTCACAAGTACTAACATTCCTTCTAATAAAAGTATCCCTATGTTTTCCCTATGTGGGAACAGCTTAGAATAGCTTCCATTTTTTAAAGTAATTTAAAATTTTCTTTGTAGTCTTACTATTCTGTACATATACTCTATACAGATCATTTGAAACCATGTGGCCACGTACTGATGAAAAGTAAATGTCAGTTTGTCTCTGCCTGTTGCAATACTGCCCCAAACACTCTTTCCCCCACTAATTTTGGCAAATGTTAATTCATAAATCACACATGAGCTCCGTATTTCTGTTTAAATGAATTATGTGGTCATGATTTGCTAATATTTGTATGAAAAGTTCATGTATGTTACTGATGGTCAACAGTCATTTTTTTAAAACTACTAAAATGAATAGGAATTGTAGTTCCTTGGTTGCCAGTGGAAAAGGCGGCATTGTTAGCCATTACTGCATTGTTAGTCACTACTGCATTTTTATTTCCTCCTATCAGTGGACTCAGTTCTGTACAGACTTCTGCTATGTAGCCCTTAGAATTAACAAATACAATAACAACATTTTAATAAAACAAAATTAATTTTTTGAGATAGCAGAACACTAGAAGAAAGTTAACAAAGCACCAATACCCAAAAAAAAAAAAAATCCATTATGGAAGTTTACTATTAAGTATGTTTAACTACAATAATGTTGAGAAGCATTTTAAGAGAGACTACTTTAAGTGTCTCCTGACAGTCTCTGCTACATCATAGCCAGGCTATGTTCAACTGGATCCACAGGCTAGATCTGTACATAAAAAATACTAAAACCATGCACTTCATTCTGGTCAGTTTTCAACTTCCAGGTAAAGATGAGAGTCTCTTACAAAGCAAAATGTAACCATTGGCCAGGGTCAGTCTGAAAAACATGATTGAGAAATTCCAGATTTACTGCACTAGAATCTCTGTTTTCTCCAGCCATCTGCTACATATCCTGGCTTATTACAGTATTAAAAAGTTGTGTGGAAGAAACCAGCAGAGACAGCTCTATCAAATTAGTTCTACACCTATTAGTGACTCCCCTATGCTTAGGTTATCCAACTTGATAGAACTGAGAGGTCAAGGAGTAAAAGACTAATCAGAGGTAGAACAATTTTCTCCAAGGAAACAGTGACTTTGCAGAATACCTGGGGGTCATAGAGAATAATCAGCTGAACATAAGTTCTCAGTACAAAACTGCCCAAAAAGGATAGTGTTGGCACTGGATTTATAACCCACATACCTTGTTCTGGGCAGACCCAAACCCTCAGATCGACCACGACCTCGCCATTTGATAATAGGCAAAATTTATTGATACACAGTGATAGGAGATAAAAATAATGCAAGCAGTTCTATATCTACCAGTTCCAGGGTTCACAGAGTCAAGGTACATCTGGCCAGTATGCGAGCTGCACTCTGAGGTTGAATGTCAGATGTCAGCAGCCTGGAGGTTGGAGGCCGAGACCCACCCTCCCCCGGTAGGGTGGGTGAGATGGACTGGTGGTGTGTGCTTTGTGTATTGTGTCCTCAGGTTCCCCTCTTGGGGACCTTTTGCTGCTCTGAAATCCCTCCTTGTGTATCTTTTCTCCTCTGTGATGACTCTTCACTTTTAGGCATCATTGATTGGTCTCCCTGTGGTTGTCATACTGTCCACATTCTACCCTGTCAGCGTATTCATTTCACAAACGTATCACATGCACACATCCTAATTTGGTTCCTTCCGGTTTCTTCTAATTTGGTCCATCTACCAAAACAGAATCCCAAGGGCCCTGCAGTCTGGTCACTATGACCTGGCCAATATGGCCAAATCCCTTTCTCATGTTATTGAACAGTGTGCTACATGTCTTCAATTTCCCAGTCCAGTGTCTGCTTGCTGCTTGTATGTTAGACATAGTGTGCGCCTTGAAGAAACTGTCACAAACAGGCTTTTAGAAATCAATTGCCCCTTGCTGTTCCCATGGACCAGTGTTCTAATGCATATCTACTTTACCTACAAGCCAATTCCCAAAAGCAAACCTCTAAATGCCATTTTCTAGCCTTCAGATATTGGAATTCTTACGGTAGTATAAGAGTGATATTGTAGCCATGATGATCCAGAAATTATGCAAGAGGCAAGGATTTCTTAGGGTGATATATTTTATTGGACCAACTATGTAGTTGGGATAAAGTTACACAAGCTTTTAGATGCAAGATATTGCATTCAAAATTTTGCCTAACTTCATCCCTACACATAATCAGTCTAATAAAAGATGTCACCCTAAGAGTTCCTTGCCTCAATGTAATATTTAGACATATAAATAAAGGAATATCAAATGGGAGGTCTGAGGTTATATTTTCTTTATACTTCATACTGATCATTCTACTACTGTCTTATCAGGTATGATGTCCACACTTCAGGAGAGATTTTGAAAATTTGGAGAGGTGTTCAGAGAAAAACTACAAAAATGATTAAGGGACTGAAAAATATGTCTTATATGGAAAGACTCAAAAAGTTTATTGTGTTTAGTTCACCAAAAAAAACCATGGATAAGGATAACTTGGTCATAATCTGACTTACATGGAGAAGCAAAATTTGAAAATAGAGGACTCCTCAGCCTAACACACAAAGTGTAATGAGTTTCAATGGCTGGAAATTGAAGCTAGACAAATTCAGACTCAAAAAGGACAGCTTTTTAATCCTGAGAGTAATTAACCACTGGAAAAACCCCATTACTTTAAATTCTTAAATTAATATTCTCTTTTTTTTCTAAAAGATGTATTCTAATCAAAGCACAGCCACTGGAATTGAAGGCAGAATTAGGAGGCATAGTGGTACCTTCTAGCCTTAAAAATCTGTTAAATAAGCTCCACAGAGCAAAAGAAAGAATATATATTGGTTCTGAATGGGCACATGCACATGAGATGTTAGAAGCGCAACAGACTAATTCCACTGAACAGTAACACACCACAATCAAAACCAGGCTACTGTACAGTAGAATTAGTCTAATGCACATCAGCGTCACATAAAAGACATGCATTGGCACTACTGCGCAATAGCACTAATTACGGCTCATTAAATTAGGACCTATTTTTACAGGTACTAAACTTAATGCACCATAATTATAGCGCATTAATTCATGTGTAGACATGCCTTTTTTTTTTAGTAAAATATATACCAAATCAGATTGGCAGCTTTTATAACTTTCATCAAGTTCATTTGTGAATGGTAATATTGAGGAAGTATCCATTGGATGTACCAAGGAACTCTTACTAAGTCTGACATTTCTGCCAATATAAGTCCCACCATCATGGGACTCCACCCATAACTGGACCACGGGTATAAATGGCTATACCCTGTACAGGAGGGATTGTGTAGATAAAAGGGGCGGGGGTGTAGCTCTGTATGTTAAGGAAAGCTACATGTCCCTGCAAGCTGATGTTGGCGACCAGGGTGGTCAACTGGAGACCCTCTGGGTTAAAGTTCATGGGGAACACGGCACAGGGGACACAACGGTGGAAGTCTACTACAGACCTCCCACCCAAAGTCAAGAGCTTGACAAGGAGTTTGTCTGGGAGCTGGCTGAGGCCGTTGTGTCCCCTGTGCCATGTTCTCCGTGAATTTTAACCCAGAGGGTCTCTAGCTGTCCACCCTGGTCGCCAACATAAGCCTGCAGGGACATGTAGCTTTCCTTAACATACAGAGCTACACCCCCGCCCCTTTTATCTA